TTATGATTATTATTCAAATACTGACATTTTTTTATTATGAAGACTGAGATCTCCAGTTGGTTCTTGATAAATTTTCTCTAAATTTTCTTCAAGCTCTCTGTCTTGCATCAATTATTTTTCCCAAAGAAAGAAATAACTAAATGATGTCAAATTTCAGAGCATAACACAGCTTAGCTAACATGAAGATAGAGACAAAATGATTCCTCTGAATGACCAGGAGAGCCAAAAGAGTACATGGAAGGGTAGAGAAAGGAACAAAAAATTTGGATCAGCAGCACATAGAAACAGTTTACAAGTAATAAAATTTTCATTACTTCTATATTATCTATATCTTTACCTTCTTGTGCCCTGCTTAGGTAGGAAAAAGCTAAGCACAAGAGGCAGCAGGAATGTAAACAAGAAAAAGAGGATAAGTAATGATCAAACTATGCTGCTGACTAAGGGGATTCTTTAACGTAAGTTTATTGAGATTATTGAAGTTTAAGAGAGGACATTTACTCACAAGTAATTTAACGTGAATTTAATATCTGGTGAAAGGAGAAGCATCTGTGGTTCTTCACAAAATAATGAAGGATATCAATTAAAAATGATGAATATAAGGAAATCCACCCTTGTATGAACGCGATAGTGTATGATCAAGAGAGTGTTTACTTAGCTTAATCTTTAGCCAAAGAGGTATTTGATAAAGATCTTATAAGCTTTTGCATCAGCAGTTTTGACTGGACCATTACTTTTTTCTTTTTAGATAACTTACACTCTAAAATAAACTTGTGTTTGACGCAAAGTACACGAGAAAATTGCTCTGAATCTTAAACATTTCTAAATTCAAAATAATTCTCATTAATTTTAAACTTTATTAAACTAAACAAAAACATCTTAAGTACATTATTAACCAAACAATTGAACAGCTTAGGCAATAAATAAGATAAGCTGATGACAACTTTAAGTTACCCTATAGCTTACAAACTCCTCTATCTTAAGCTAAGCCAAACACTCTTCAAAAATTCCCTCAAAATCCCAGAAAGCCACCAATTGTACACACCTAAATTGACGCAGACATAAACACCAAACTCAAACAAGATAGAGATGCTCAGAACAGTATCAAGTATTCATTCACAAATCATCCACTTCTTCCAAAAAGGTTGAAAATAAAAAAAAGAATCCTCATAAGAAAAATTAAAATCAGAGCAATTCTAAAATCTATACCTATAGAAATCTCTCATCTAAACTACATGTTGTCCATATATATGAATATATCTGTCTTTCAATGACCATGCAAACCATAATTTACAACCTAGATGCCACATATATAGTTTGATGAACCGAGAATATAATGTTCTAAGCACATTTCAGAACCTGAAGAAACTCCTTCACATGCACATAGGAAAGTTCCAACCCAAGGTTAAATACATTGTCTTGATTGTTATGATCAATCCTGCAAAGATA